CTTCGAAGAGCACCAAATTATCCAGCAGTTGACATTATTATTACGTTTTGACTGTTTTCAATCAATTTTTACGTAACCATCCAGTGCTCATATGATTCTTAACGAAGACTAAGGAAGCAATCGAAACGCCTCATTGGGAATTATTTTTGATAGAAAATAAGAAAACTACAGTACCTTTTATAACATTGCATTAAACGATGGACCAATGTGTGAAATGGATTGATAAAGTTTCTTGAAGCAGAAAATCGAGAAGTACTTTTAGAGATTTTTTCAAATGACCAACGTTTTTAATGTTTTAAAAAATACATATATACCTTTTACCTTTTTAATTTCCAAACAAATTTTAATTAAACCAATTTCAAAAACAATGATAAAAAAGAATCAAATATTTTTTAAGGGATATTAATTTCTTTAGTATCATCTTAAAACAACACCATTCATAAATCTATAGCATTCGACAGGTAAAACGACTAAACAATGAATGATGAAATAAATTTAGATGTATTCGATGTATTTGAATAAACAAGCACTATTCGTTTCATTGAAAAGTCGATTTGAAACACTCACAACTTTTTGTCATTCATTTCAACATATCCATCTTTTCAAATAAATAAAAATTGAAAAATAAAAATAAACCATAAACAAAACTCCATTATTCTTTGGCTGTCGCCAAATTCAAGAGTTGGGGAATTTGGGTTTAAAGGCCCTTTTTAGACTTTTTTTCAAAATCAAAATGTTTGTCGATATTCGCAATTGTACTGTGATTAACATTTCAGCCAGTATTGATTGAGAATTCGCTGACTCTGTAATCTTTAAGAAATCACTACTTATAGCCCTTCTCGATATTTGGTATCAGTAAGAATGCGTTTTTAACATCTATCCAACAAAGATTTTACAAAGGTGTACATATCTTAAGTGGGACCCACATACGAGATATCTTCAATCAAAGGAGAGAGCGAATGTTTTGGGAAAAAGTCGAATTAAAAACGAGCACTTTTGAGCAGTAGAAAACGACTTGCTTGATCGGTTGGAAAACAGGCCGCGACCTTCCACCGAGTTTGCATTGGGATAAAATGCAAGTAAATATTGTCATAGCGTTAATACGGAAAACATCTTCTAATTATTGTTTGTCGCTTTAACCTCGTAAAATTCACGAAAATAATGACTAAGGACAAATAATACGCTTGGTAAGAAAACAACGCGATGATTAAAACGAAAAATATCGTCCCGATCGGAAATTCCCGGAATTAAATAGTTGCAATCGCGTGTCGCGCAAAAAGAATCTACGAATTCGTATTAATTGCAATGAGCAAACAGTAGAATAATGCGAAATTGTTATCGGCCGAATGCAAATTACCGAGTCGCGATAACTTATCCTACAATATAGTTTATTCCGCAACTGCGCAAAAATTTTGGCGGGGGCGGGGCGATCATTTTATATATATTCAGTTATCAGACAACATTAAAGCAACCATTTTCATTTTCTGATTTAGCCATGAAAATTTTAAATTTCAAGTTTAACATTTATTCAGTGCTTTAGAAATAATTGAGGTAAACTGTGTTCTGTTGTAAACTGCCTCGGGGTATTGCCTGTTTGATTGATCTTAAGCAATTTGGTGTTGCAGAAGTTAATATTAGCAAAAGATTTTGTTGAAAAAAGGATATTGCTTCTGCAACTAGAAAGAATGTTCATACCGAAAAACTGACATCGAAACAACTGGATGACCCCAAATTTTCTTGGAACACAAGTTTTGGCATCTTTATGTCAAGTAGAGGGGGTAGACATGCAAGCTTATTATTTGCACGAGAACATCGACAAGGGACACCAAGAGATTTGAAAAAGGTTTTGTATAGTACAAGATGGATACCTCGTCCAGATGATAAAAGGGTTGATCCTAAATACGTTTGTCAGGTTGCTTTTTTGCCTTTGAAGTTAAAGCAATTCATTAGATTGAGGAAATAATGGATAGGTAAACAGTATGCCAAGTAAAACGATCCACTATACGATCTGGAATCCCATAGGAGATACGAAAAAAAGTTCCGTACAAAACTTTCTTGAACTCTCCTGCAGATTTAAGATATTATGATACAGAGTGTCCCAAATGGAACACCCTAGACATTTTTGGAATCCTTGTTTAAAATAAAGGTCACTTTCTTAAGAAATTCCATTCCTATTCGAAATTTGCATAGTTTAGGCAGAAATTGAGGTTACGTGTTTTTTTTTCATATTTTGATTGCCTCATATAAAATTGTGTTGTGACGCCACTTATTCAGGTATTCAACCATAGGCTAAGGAGATGATGCACTAATACTACAATCAGTTTGACAGATGCGCCTCAGCTTATACCGGGTGACCCAAACTGGTGGTGCCGTTTTGGCGAAGTTAATTAACAAAATCTCAAGATTTTCAAATGGAACACCCTGTATTTTTATTCAGATATCAAAGACATGATACTACTTCTTTTAAAAATATAATACTCCAGATATACGAATAAAACCTATTGCTGACAATACAGGGTGTCCATTAATACGTAGAAATTTTGACTCTATACAGATTTAATAAAACTTCAGAATTCATATTTAAAGAAACATTTAATAGATAATTATCTAGCTTGATTGAAAATACCTAATAATAAAAATAAATAATTGAATTTTATAGGCTAACTAAACAACGTAACAAATTTGAATAAATAAATCTATATAACAAGAAGTTACTTAAAAAAAAAGTTTACTTAAAATGTTCCTCTTAAAATGCTCGTTTTAGTTGGCATCAAAACAACAAAGAAATATCAAAATATTTAAAAATGTAGTTGGCTATGACATCACAATCTTTTTTTTACGCATTAAGATATAAACAAACTTTGACATTTCTGTTTGTTTTTGTTGTTTTTCATATTTTTATTTAAAAAGTTCATAGTTGTCAAGTTTATTTTAAATAAGTTATAGTTTTTTTGGTTACAATGCCGCAATATTCTGCTCAGGAACGGCTAAAATTATATGAATGCTACCTGACCAATGGTAAAAGTGCAGCCTTAGCATTAAGGGAGTATCAAAGAAAGTTTCCGGGGGCTAAAATAACAACAAAAACAATATTTAATAGAATTATCCAGGACCTGTCAAATCACGGTGTTCCTGGGTCAATAGCGTCACAACCCAATTTTACATGGGGTTATCAAAATATGAAAAAAAAAACACAAAACCACAATCTCTGCCTAAACTATGCAAAATTCGAATAAAAATTTCTTACGAAAGTGACCTTTATTTTAACCAACCTTTATTTTTTAATTTTGGGACATCCTGTATCAACAAAATTATAATATTTTAAATCTTCAGGAGAGTTCAAGAAACTTTTGTACGAAACTTTTTTTCGTAACTCCTACGGGTTTGCGGATCGTATAGTGGATCGTTTTATTTGGCACACGGTATACAATTATCGATAAACATTAGAGGTTATGAAAAGGCCAGCTCAATCAACAGACTTAAATCCCATTGAAGCTCTAGTTGGAAATAAAGGATATTAGACCAAATATTGACTGTGAGTTTCATTATCCATTTTTGGCGGAAAAAACAGAAAGTTTCTTTAATTTTGTCGCGGTAACAATTTTTTTTTTTACATTTAAACAAGTGTTATTTTACACTGCAATTTTACCTAACCAATCAAGAACTTAAAGTAAGGCAACGAGATATATTTTGTCGCAAAGTATCTTTGCTTTTGAGCATCAGGAATAGACTTTTTAAGTGTTTTAATTTTTTATTTATGTAGAAAAAATCGTAAGTTACGTAAAAAGATTAGATTAAGCTTAATGTGTTTATCGCAATGCAATCTACAGTGACAGAAAAAAGTATTGAAACTTTTAATAATATTTATGTTATATTATCAATGATTGGGAGGGGCCGCTGATATCACATTTGACAAATGCAATGTGCATTTAATCGCACCCGGAAGATGCTATGTATCAGCATTCAAACTCGAATTCAAGTCCTACCTTGTGACAAATGATACGACCCTGGGTCGCATGCACACAGAAATGGAAGTTTAGGATAGCGTTAAGAAAATTAGGATACTTGTGATGTGATGAGAAATGGAAAACACTATCTGCCCCGACCAATTTAATAGGGAAAGACAGATGGGAGACGTAGAAGAATTTGATGGCTTAAGAACCTAAGGCAGTGAACTGGAAATGAGCTCTAATACTCTATCTATTTAGATCAGCAGTAAACAAATAGGCACTAGAAGAAGAATTTGAAATTTCTTTAAAATTTAGAAATGTCTGTCTGAACGAAAATAATTCTTTGTAAATTGACTCGTTTAAAAAATATTATTGCATAATTGCATAATTTGCAGAAACAGATTGAAAAAATCCTATACTAAGTAATATTATTTTGAGCGATATTTTTCATGATTCACCCCCATTGAGGTTTCGGCCGGACCCTTTAATTTAGACATAATGTTAGGGACCTAAGACATTCCTAAATTATATCCCGTATATTGGGATTTGAAAAATAAATTTCGAAAAGGAAATTATAACAAAAATTTACCTTCAAACCAAATACTTAACGGCCATAGAAACGACTTCTTTAGATGTTTTCAATAGTCCAATTAAAATATCAAAAGGTGAGACAGTTCAAGAATAACGAAATAAAAAAAAACTTTCTTGACACTTATCATATTACTACTGACAACACCGCCTACGCTTCAAACTTTAGTAACGGGAACCTTATTCCGGCGTAAGTAGCGTTAAACTTTATCGGTCATCAAGTAACAAAGTAGAAGTTAAAGTGAAAAAGGCCATATATAAAAAAGAAGAAGCGACCACGGCAAAGGCTCGGTACCAAACCGATAGCTCGCCAGGGGGCGCACCACGCAACGGTCCGTTCGAATTGAATTACACAAAAAAAATGCATACATGTTACCTATCCCCGCGTCACAAAACAACCCCCTCAATAAATCTGAAACAGATCGGGTGACGGTAGCGGTGAAAGAGCCGAAACAACCTTACCTCCATCGAGTGGATTTGCGCCATTTTTTGGGCGATTAGGACCGACAGTTTCGGGATGGCCAGTTCTCTGGTCAGAAGCGGTCGCGCGTTGATGTACTGCTCGATGCGACCGCCCGGGAAGATGCCGTGAAGTTTGGGGCCCAGCCCGCGTTCCGATAGCAGCGTGAAGATGACCGATTCGGTGATGAGGGCCTCGAGTGCGCCCTCGCCGTGGGTTTGCCCGTAAACGCGGATCAGCACTTCCTTCGGCTCGTGGCACGAGTGGCCTTTGCTGTCGTCGATCAGGTACGGCGGCAGCGCCACGTGGTAGAGGAGGTTGGACAAGCCTCCGCTGGGGAAAAAAACGGATAGTTTCGATCATAGATACACAATGCGGAAACATAGGGCTATTCCTTGTTTAAAATAAAGGGTAGTTTGTGTTACATTCAAATCAAAGGCAACCATCAGGAAGATATCGCGCTACAAATATGGCGGAAAAATGTTTTATTTTACCTCATAAGCGATTTTAAAACGCACGGTCTTAATTAGACTTTTAGAATTAGACTACTTCTTCTGAACTAAATTTAAGGAAAAGCTTGCAAGAATACGAGGGCTGCTACTTATACTTTTAGCCTTGGCAACATTGAGTGATTTTAGGTGCAATCTGACATTTCCATTGAAAGATTTAATATAAAATTCTCAGAAATATTTTTTATACAGGCACTTAAAAAACTAACCAAAGCTAACTAGTGAACATTTCAAGCCATTACTTTTCATAACTCTCGACGTAGATTAATTATCAAGAAAAGAAACCTACAGCACCCCAATTTCGCGAGGATGGTCCAAAATCATACAAGATCGTCATGTGACATATCGTGATTTGGGCACTAGTGTGACAAGCAACAATAAGATCATCAAACATGAGCAGATGGCCGTGTCGACTTGTGCAAAGAAATGTTGAAAAAATATCAAGGTGGTGTTTCAAAGCGGTCTATAACTTCTGCAGAGGTGATGAATCAGGATCTATGCAGCACTCGACGGTATAAGTTTTACAAGACGACCAAAATCCAACAAAGGTTATTCGCGGAAGAAGCACATCGAATCAAATGGTTGCATGTTTCTTAGATACTATACGTCGCATGGCTAAAGTGGCGTTAGAGCATCGAGGACGGTCAAATCTGAATGGTAAAGTCTGTTCTTTGATATAAGAAAGTGACTAACTGATACGAATTAAGGAAAGATCCGGGCAAGCTGTAAGAATGAAATATGGCCGAACAGGTCCGTACTTTGCTTAGAATTTAATTATTTGGGGTTTTGTTAGGAAAGACACTAAACATTATTTATTTATGTTTGTATTTATGTTTGAATCTAATATAAAATTACAAATTATTTTTATTACCTACTTAAATTACTTAAAATCATTCACATAATATATCAGTATCACTATCGCTATCATCGCCTGTTCTAATTATTATTTGTTCTATGTTATTTGCAATATGGATATACGATTGTTCTGCTTTTTCTATACGTTTTACAGAATTTGTCCAACTTTGTGGTGGGATGTTAAAAACTTCGGTTTCAATAAGTTTTGAGTTAACACGGGGAAAAACATTGTTACGACGAATGGCTGATTTCAGTTTGTGCCAAACATGTTCAATGGGATTAAATATACAGTGGCCTTAAAACTGTATGCCCTAGGTTTTTTGCATAATTATCACAGACGTATTCCTTTGGTAGGTTCAAACTTTGTAGAACCTCAATTAATTGCTTTTTGGTATAATCTTCGTGAAAATAAATGTCGTTATTATACATGTAGTTTTGGATTGTTGCTTTTGTGTCACTTGAGGAAGGGGTTTCAGTCAACTGTCTACTGTGATAACTTGCATTGTCCATTACAATGACGCCATTAGGAGGAATGTTTGGAAATAGCTTGTTTTTAAATCAACTTTCAAATAAATTAGCGGTGGTATCTTCATGGTAATCCAGAGAAGAATCTTTAATATTTTTCGCCTAGAGAGAAAGTCTATTTGGAATCCAACCATCCTTAGAGCCATCATGCAAAATAGTTATTCTTTTACCTCTTTTTGATGGCGCGTTTGTTTTACACTTAATCAGTTGAGTCAACCCAACTCTTTTCAGGGGTATCATAAGTGTCGAACCAGATTTCATCCAAGTAAATAATTGGCCTTTGCTGTTCTCTGTAAATTCTATTTTTTTCTAGATATTCCAGTCGCCATTTCCGAATTCTGAAAGATTCCATTAAAACTCGCCTTTTGTCAATTTTTTTAAATCTAAAACCCATGTGTTTGAATACACTTACACTTAAATGTGGCAGAACTACCTGCCACATTTAACACCGATTTCATCTTTTTCAAGCCTCCTAAATAAGATATCTAATGTAGGCACGCTTTGTTCCTCTTATAACTGGTAAATTTTACGCCGTATTATATCTTAATCACTTTCATCTATACTCGAGAAAATGTTAGCATCGCTTCTTTTTTTCCTCGCTGAAATGGGATTATTCACAATTTTTCATACAGTTCATTTTGCTATTTTCTTCAATGTGGCCGTTTCTTCTAAAGATGCTTGCTTGCTGGCACCACGTTCAATGAGAGTCAAATAAACATTGTTTATAACTTCCTTAGTCTCAATAGCATAGTGTTTTCTACATTTGGGCGGGAGCATCTGCTGAGATACACTAGTCTCGCACATATTTTGCATAATTCGCACCTGATTCAACACACGCTCTATTACACACGAAATTAGAATGATTACTAATAAACTTAAACTAAGTAGTATACCAAATCAAAGAATATTAAACACAGGTGGGTATAAAATTATTTTCTATTACGGACCACAATTTTACCTGAATTTCAATTCCGAAACTTTAGGTAATAATCTTGTTGCATTGTATGTTAATGACCACCCTTGGATAATCCCATTCAAAAGCAATTGGTCACTTTCTTATATCTACGAACAGACCATACACATTTGTTTGCAAAAAGTCATAAAAAAAATTCGTCAAAATAAGGAGAAAAAACGAATCATACGTCATCATGACAATGCGAGAGCCCTCACACATCAACTAAAACAAAGGAATTTTTGACAGCCAAAACATCGAATTGACGGACCATGCGCCGTACAGCTCTGATTTGGCACCTAATGACTTCCGTTTTTTTCCCGCGCATTAAAAAAAGTTACTCGGTCAACGATTTCCTGCACCCAAAGAAACGGTTGATGCGTTCACAACGCTTGTTTTGAAGCTAACTCAATCAGAGTGATATATTTTCGTTTTTTCATTATTAGGCTAGAAATATAAGTAGCAGCCCTCGTAGATATATATATTTATTATTTTGTTTTAACCTTTTTTTGAATTCTGCAATTTTTCCATGAAACTCACAGTTTTCAATCAAACAATTGCTCGTCATTAAAAAATGCAGCCGAACAGTTGCATTTTGTACCAACACATACCTACTATTTTCTAAACAATTAAAAATCGTTTATTAATAAACATTTCTGACTCTTTATTTCCGTTAGACATTATAATATATGGAAAAGTCAAAGAAACAAAACGAATAACAAAACTACACATACCCTTTTCATTTACAAAAACGATACTTTAGAGAGATTAAAAAATTCAGTAATATAAAAAAGGCCATTTATTAGAAACTGACCCAATTTATTCAATTAATTATTAAACGTCTGTCTCTTGGTCTTTATCTCCGTAGGCAGCAGATTAAAAATGTTTATTTCCATTCTGTCTGTCAACAGTTAGAAGATTGGAGGGGGCTGTAAGGTATTATGACTACTTGTTTCACCATTTTATGTTTCACATAAATCGGTATTTGTTTCTAAAAATATGAATAGCAAGTTCGAGGATAAAGGTACCGACCTATCAACAATTCGATGCTCTTAAAGTGAGATTTATATGACTAACTTTGTCTCAGGCCGAGCATGTTCAGATGGCCCTCTTCTGGCTTTTGCTTCGGAGGAAACCCCACAGAAACAAAGAAACTTTGTGCTTACCAACTCTTATATTTTTAGATGTATTTAAATACAAAGAATATTGGCTGAACCATCTTTCAAAGAGAAGACATAACCGCCATCGTCGGCAAACGGCCCCAGGACCGAACCCTGAGGCACTCCCTGATATTGTTCTTTATTATTGAGATAAGAAGCTGCCGAATCACATGCTGTACTCGTTACTCCATAGCCCAACAGGACACTTAGTCGCATCCATGCCGCCGATAATTTCCCGATAAAACAAATGATTAGCGTCCGGCTTAGAACGCTCAGCACGGAAAACAAATTGGTTATCAGCTGAGATGTTATGTTTTGCAAAAAAGTGTTAATTTGATCTACGTATCAGTACAAATTTTAGAGAAAGCAGAGAACATTGCTATAGGTCTACATTTCTCCAATAAATATTCCTCGCCCTTTTTGTAGATGGGCACTACCTTATTTATATTTAATATTCTGGGAAAAATATTATTCCTAAAGGTTTTATTAACCAAAAAAAAAACCGGTAAGGCAATTATTTCCAAAACATGTTTTAGTAGGTATAATATTAATTTTATTTTTGAAAAGATTTTTAGTTCAAGCTCATTTAGCTGAAAACCATACGTCAAGACAGGACGCGAGACTCCACTTCTGGGGACCTCTCCGAGTTTCTTCAGGTGAAAAGTGCATTCTGGTAGAATACATTAAGTCTCTTGGCGGTTGAAGAGTTTTCATCTTTATGGCATAAAATATTCGGCTAGATTATGTAAAATTATTTATTCTATTTTGATAAAAATCTATTTTTTATATTGTGCTATTTTGTGTTTGTTGTTTATATGCAATTTTTAAAGATGGACTGAATTTGCCTCTGGCTCTCACCTCATTATTAACCCAGGCCCTTTGACTAATATCACAGGTCACCACGCCCGTAAATTTTTAAATGGAATTTCAAATTTCCAAATGGAAAACAAAGATTTGATAATAATTGTTAAAGGCTAAATCTAGAGCAGAAGTAGACTGGTGCCCAATCCTCCCAGACCAGGTAGGGTAGTTCTTAAAATTGTTAATATTGGTTTCATGAAATGACATTCTTTTTATTGTAAATGCTATGGACGGAGGTCTTGTTATTATAAACCCTACTATTACAATCAAAATTGTTAAAGATGTCTTTGCTTCACTCCTTCGTGAGAGATTAAAGCTTATAATCAAATCAACAGAATTTTTGTAGTCCATAACATCCCTCTCTAGAACACAATATAGGGCTTCGCGAATTATGATATTAAATTTGGGTTTAAATATATCAAAGACTATATTCGGTTGCAACAAAAAAAGATTAGAGTTAGTATTTGTGTG